AACCATATATTTCCCCTTGGTATGAGCGTACCACCTGGTGCAAAGAGTAGTTTCTACTCACCTTTTTTATTTTCTTTGATATGTCACATTCTGTTTCATCACAGTTTTCAAAACACATTTTGTTTTCTTGCATGGACATAACACTATTTTCCATTCCTACTAAGATAAACTTTTCACATGCTTTTTCAGTATCTGCCTCATTTTTTTCATAGTGGCTGTGCATTTTGTGTCACAGCCAGTACTGAACCACCCAAGGTTTTCTCCTGGCGTGTAGTGACAGGTTCACCATGGATAAGGGAAATGCAGCAGCTCTTAGGTGGTGCTGTACTTCCCAGTTTGGGTGCTGTTTGGCTTTGGAGTCTAATTTAAAACCAAGCATGTTAGCAGCAGTGACCTCAGCCCATGCATAATTCAGACCCTACCCCACTTCAGAGAAAAAGAACTGAACTGCTGCCTCAGTGCTCCTGAGCAGGGAGATATTATCACAGGGGCTGGTGCTAAGACACTATGCAGAATAGAAATCCCACAGAAACCACTTGCTTGCTTGGATCCTTGTTTAAAGGTTGCAAGGCTGGAACCTTCTCAGGGGGCCTCTGTCACACAGCTTTTCCTATTGAGTCTGCAAAAAACTGATAATAGAGGCAGCTTGGGACCAGGCTTTGACTGCTTGCTACAGCTCTCCTGTAAGAGCCGTGTTCGTGACAGAAGAGAGAAAAGCTTAAACCCCTCACTTTTCCTTAGGCAGTGTCCATCATATTCAGGCCAATTTCTTCAGCTCTTTGACTTGGAAGGACCCTTGACAAGATGTGTGACTTAGGATGGCATGAAGAGCAACTCTCCACAAATTTGCAGGTGGCACTGAGCCAGAGGAGGATCAGCCAATACACTGGAGGGCAGGACCAAGATTCTGAAGGAGCTGCTCAGGCTGCAGTAATGCTCTGGCAGAAATCCCACAAAGGTCAAGGATGCAAATGAAAACCTTACACCTTAGAGAGGATTATACCACACACCAATACAGGCTGGGGTATAAACAGCTGGGATCAGCTCTGAATAAAAATGACCTGGTGATCAAGATGGGCAGCGAGGTGAACAAGCACCACCAATGTGTTCTTGCAGCAAAGAAGGCCAACAGCATCCTGGGTTGCCTTGCTAAAAATGCAACCTGCAGGTCCACAAAGGTGATTCACCACTTCTGTTCAGGATTTGTAAGACCATTCCTGGAGAGCTCTGTCCAGAATTTTGGCTGCCCAATTCAGGAAAGGTACAGTCATGCTGAATGAGTCCTGCTGATGGCAATGAGGATGGTCAGAGCACTCTATATAAAAAAAGCTGAGACAGGGGAGATTGTTGAGCTTGGAGAAGTAAAGACTTAAGAAGATCTCACAATTTCCTGACATAAAAATGGTGGTGCCAGACACATGAACTAGTACAACAATAATAGCAGTAGCAGCTCACTTTCATTACATCTTTATGTATCTTGGAAAAATATGTATCCTTGGAAATGCTTCAAATTGGAATTGCTCCATTTCAAGTTACATGCATAATAATACATTGTACTTCAAAAGATAGTGTTGCTCCAAAGTGTGGCACTTAGACGTGTGGGAATGACAAGATTTAGACGGATTTAATTCAGCTGTTTCTACATGTGCCCTGACTAACGTAAATGGTGGCATACTAATTAATACATGAGCATGAGTTATGTTTCCGGAGGATCCTTGCCTCTCCAAGGAAATGAAGCAGGCAGACAGTAGGTCTTAGAACCTTTACTATTAATTCACTGAATTTTATCTCTATACTGAGTTTTTATTAAATACAATGGTATTAATTCTCTTGAAATACTTTGATGGTTTTTGTGACTTTAGCATATGGTTTCTCATAAACAGTATAAACATCTCTGTTAGATTTAGAGGTGGTGTATTTTTCTCTGTTTCCTCAGAGAGATTCCATGTACAGACTTACTGAGAATCATTGGAACTGCCCACTGATGGTAAGAGTGGGTGGTGCTTTGCACCTGGTATTTGGAAATATTCAACAAGCTTTTAATATCTTACATGTTAGAAACATCCTTGTACTTGATTTCATTTTCCAGCTTTAGCTCCAAAAATGCAACCAGGTAAGTCATTCAGATGTTTCAAAAATTACTTATTTGTACAGATGAAAGGCACGCTGTGTGAAATTGCACTGAACCACAACTTATGTCATCAGCAAAGGTCAGGTCTTCCTGAGGACACAGAGGAGATCCTTATCACTTGAGCTAATAGCTTCAGTGGCTGTTTCTTCTCTGGACTGATCGCCCAGGGGGGCAGGGCAGACTTTTGCAGTTGAATCATTTTATGGTCAATTATTCCATTGACCATAGGAAAAGAGATAGCCACAATACTTAAGTCAAAGAAATTTCTGAGGCAATGGTGCTTGTTACTTTCTCATGAACTCTGCTACTTTGGCTTTCTCGCTATGTTTTCCCATTTTGCCTCTATTCACTTAACCTTCCTTGTACATTTATACTACCTCTACCTTTCCAGCCCTCCTTGCCCTTTGTGAAGCCCAGGCTTTCCCAACCCTTGAACCTCCAGTGTTGGATGGTGCCTTAGGACAAGCGGTCCCACCATGTGGGCTGGTTTTAATAAGCAGAGTGTCTTTGAGGTGGGCTGACATGTCCCTGTGCCTTTTCACTCCCAGAGTGGCTCCAGCACTCTCTGAGGTTCTTTGGGAACAGAGGGTGGCCAGAAGGTGGAGGCTGGAACCTGCCCAAGCATCCACTTGCTGATACATCGTTCATTCAGACAGAGAAGCTGTAAATGGATGCCACACACTCACCTCAGATGAATTCTTTGGAGACTGTAAGATCCCAAAGCATCTCTCTCGAGCACAGCACACTGCACTGAGGTGTGCAGGCTATGCTTGGGGTTGTTTTTGGGGGAGGCTGTATGTCAACCTTCTGCTTCTCACTGAGTAAAATGTTGAAGTCTTTGGGATTCTTTTTTTTTTTTTGGATGGTGAAAATGTCTATTTTTCAGATTACATATGACTGAATTTTAGGTGTAACTCTTAAACAAGAAAATCAACCCGAGGCAGGTATCTTGTGGAGGCAACTGCAGCCCAAACTGCAAAGGTTTAATTAAGTAAAAACTGAGTTTTTGCTGCCAGAAAGTACTGGCAACACTAACTATAGGAGCCAGAGTTATTCCTGCATATTATATCACAAGTTTTCACATATTCTAGCAAGGTGTTTATTTTTTCTCTCTCTTTTATTTGAAATACTGGATCAGAACCATGATTCTGCACTTCATGTGGTTTTGAAGTGTTCAGCTTGGCACGTCTATGTTCTTTAACAATTATTGTTTAACTCCTTTCTCTTTTTTTAAAATTATTTTTGCTACAGTCTTCCAATATTTAACACTTTATGTTTGGGATGCAATAGAAACATGACTCAGACAAGCAAATTGGTTAACATATGCGTCTGGTACATACCTAGTGAAGTAAGACCACACATTAAAAACCAAAAAATAACAAACCACAAAATTCCACCCCAGATCTCTAATTTCTTTACAAGTTCTAGCAGCAACAGCTCAAGGAAATGCGTTTCTTTTTCAGGACTAGTGACAGACTGGTGATAGTTGAATTCACAGATACCTATGGACAAGAGTCCATTAGAAATACACCAAACTTCTGCTAACATCATGTTCCTTGTATGCACTGTGATACACCTGCTATGGAATCAGGGTACTGAGCTTCGGTGGTTGCACTTCTAGCAGAGGAGACATGTAAATGGAGAAATTGTTGCAATATGCTGTAAGTGTTCTCTAACATAACACCACTGAGAAACCAGGACTAGACCTCATATGCTAACTCCTACGAGCAGCTGTAAGAGCAAAGCTGTTTGTGCTCCGAGAAGTTTGTCATGTAAATAGTATTTTTTCTTTCTGTTTCAGCCTTAAACTGTGAACAGAATGAAATTAAACTTGGAAGGAAGCTGTGCAAACCCCTAGATTTTCATCCTGCACCTTTTGAAATTAATGTGAACATTAGAAGGTAAAAAAAACCCACCTCTAAGTACTATTAATAAGGATATAATAATTAGCACTCATGGACAAGATTTTCCCAGCTTCTTCACTAGATAAAGGCTCTTCTGGCTTAACTTTTATCCTCCCACTCTCTAGTTCTCCCTCAAACGTTAAGTAGCAACATTCACTTTAAAATCCGCAGGTTGAATCTTCCTGCTCTTCTTTTTTTAATAATCCTTTATGGACATTACACTCCACCTTCGTGCCTCTGTGTGTTTGTATCTCGAAGAGCTGCTTCAGACAGTGAATTATACTAGTACCTTGTTTAATAACTAACCTAAACATTTGCCCTTGACATTCTCAGCACCTCAGTGCTAATTAAACAAAATAAACAGAGACTAAATGGAATCCGGGCAAAGTACTTATCCTTCCTCAAAGATTTAATTTGGGATCAGCAACGCCGCTGACGGGAGACAGAAGCGCGAATCGCAGGTAAGTCCACACACGAATAATGAAACGCTGAATTATTTTTTTAAACCCTCCACTAATATCTTGTGATTTAAAGGTCACTCCAGAAGAAGAATCAAGGTCAGGCACGGCTAATCCTGCATCCGAAGCGGCCTTTTCTTTCGCCCGGTGCCTCGCCGTAGCGATGCCGCGGCGGGGCCGGGGGTGCCGGCCCGGGACCCCCTCATGGCCCACCCACACCCGGGGGCTGCGGCGTGATCGCGGGGCCGCCGGGGCAGAGCCGGCGCCTCTCCCGCTCCCGGCGCGGCCGAGGCCCCCAGGGAAGCCGGGGAGGCCGCTCGGGGGCAGCGGCAATCGATGCGAGGCGAAGCGAGCGGCTCCGGGCGCCGCCTGCGGCCGCTGAAAGTTCCCCAAAGTCGCCCTCGGCGGGGCGGAGCGGGGCCGGCAAGGGCCGCGCCCCCGCTCCTTCCCCGCGGAGCGCGGCCCGGCCTCCCCCGGCAGGGGCGGGCACGGGGCGGAGCGCGCCGCCGGGCGGCGCCGGAGGGCCGGGGGAGCTGCTGCACCTGATACACCGGGGCGGGAGCGCGGCGGAGGAGGGCGGGAGGGAGCGGCGCTGCCGCCGCCTGCGAGCGCCTCTCGCCGCCGTTAGACAGCGCTGGTCTCGCCGCTTCTCCCTCCGCCCGCCCCTTCTGCGCGGAACTGGGCTCTCGCTCCTGTTCCCCTCGGGGCCGGCGGCAGCGCGTCCTCCTCGTCTCCCCTGGGCCCCATGGCTTCGGCCGGCAGCGGCATGGAGGAGGTGCGCGTCTCGGTGCTGACCCCGCTGAAGCTGGTGGGGCTGGTGTGCATCTTTCTGGCGCTGTGCCTGGACCTGGGAGCTGTGCTGAGCCCCGCCTGGGTGACGGCGGACCACCAGTACTACCTGTCCCTCTGGGAGTCCTGCCGCAAGCCCGGCAACTTGGACAGCTGGCTCTGCGAGTCGACGCTGCACAGCGGTGAGATTCGGCTGCCCCCGCTGCCCCGCTCCCCTCCGCCGCCACCCCTTTGCTGCTTTCCCCCTCGTCCGCCTCCCGTTCCCTTGGGCGCACCTCGGGCATTGAGAATTCCTTCCCCTCGCCGTGCCCTGGCTGACCCACCAGCATCCCTCGAGCTGCCTCTCCTTCCCCCTAATCTCCTTCGGGACTGTATGCCAGCCCTTCCTGGGGCCAGTCCCCCCAGACCGGAGCAGTGCCCCGCTGACCCCGCTGGTTCCTCGCCTCGCCCCCTGCCACCCCTGGTTCCCCGCCCGGCTCCCAGCGCCAGCCGCCGCTACCGCTGGGAAGAGTCCCCTGCACCTTTGTCCGCCCGCTCTCCGCACCCCTTCCCTTCCCTTCCCTTCCCTTCCCTTCCCTTCCCTTCCCTTCCCTTCCCGAGCCTTTTCACCCGTCCCCGTCCTCCCCCAGCCTCCCGGACCCGCATCTCGCCGGCGGTCGGGCTGGGGCGGAGGCGGCGGCGCTCCCAGCGAGCGGCGTGTGCGGGAGGGGCAGCGCCGAGCGCCCGTGCTCGGAGGGTGCGGGAGGTGTGAGGCTTCAGTGAGCGAAACGAGTCACTTACAGTGACTGGTTCCGTATGTACCGTGGTACTCAACTAGTTTTAATTATTTTTTTCCGTGTGGTGGCTTCCCTATACAGTGAGAAACTGTTTGGGATCGAGTATCTTATACTGTCCCTCCGCCCCCTTCTGAGAAGTCTCAGATTTTGGAAAGTTGGGGCTTCCTAAACCAAAACCGGTTGCTACTTCGTCCAGAGTGGGGACGCCTGGGCTTGGACTCCCTCCATCACGCCGGGCGTGCTTGTGTGTGTCTTTCTCTAGCACGTACTGATCTCCCCATCGTCTTTCACGCTCCTTTGCCTTCATGCCACACTCCCTGTTGTGATTTCTTGATGCTCATTCCTTCTTCACCTTTTTAGGTCTTTGATCACAGATTGTTATTTTTTTTAACGTCACTTCACTATTGCTTGGAGTACTTCAAAAACGGGTTGTGAATGATAAAAACAAGCTGCCTGTTGAATATTCTTCAGTAAATTCTTTTGTAGTGTGATAATTGTTTTGGTTTTCATGGGTGGTTTTATTTACTTTATGCCTGATGGCAACTTCTGTAGCCCCAACAAAAACACTGACAAATGCAGTCAGCCTCCCCCCCCCATCGTTTTTATCCCCATTCCTGTCCACACACACACACACTTGCATTGATACATCGTTTGTTTGGATTGCTGTGCTCTTTGGTTAGGTAAATGCTGCAGGGAAAAGATGTGTGATTTGGGAGGGAAAGCAAAGGACTGACTATATTCTTGGTGTGTTTTGTTTTCCTCTGTTCTCCGAAGTCCTTGTACGGGTTCTGAGAAATAACTCATCTCAGTTTGAGTTGGAATTACACAGGTTCCTTTGCTGCTGTGCTTATTTTGTTTTTTCTGTCCTGTGAGTAATATTTGAGGGCTTAAATGTTGTTTGGGATTTTGTTTTAAGTAAAATAAAATGAATTGTAAGGAAATTTCGGTTTCAGTCAATTACCAGGGTATCTGCACAAAGTTTGGAGTGCTTTCTTTTCCTTCCCTGGTATAAATGGAAATTTATGTAGGAATGTCAGCTTCTACGTGTCTCCTTAGCAACGTGAATCCTTTGCCCCTTCTCCCTGTCTCCTGAAATAGTATCCCCTTGATTACAGAAAGACTTTTCACATGGCTTGAATGAGAACCTGCTTCCAATCCCCCCCAGCTCCACACGCTCTACTGGGCTCCCCCCTCCATCCATCTCCCGGTCACGCATGCGTGTGTACACACACATACACACAAAAGTGGGACGGGGAGAGAAGCAGGACAGCTTATGGAACAGCAGAAAAGGACACTAATCTCTCTTGTTCCTCTATTGGTCACCTGTCTGTCTGTGGGGATGTGGAAGATGAATGGATGAGGATGGATAGGAATGAGATGTAGCTTTCACTGGATGCTGTGTGTTGAAAATCTGATCTGTCCTCTGCTGGTGCCTTCTTCTATCATGTGCACAAATTCCTGCCTATCCAGTTTTTTCAAGTTCCTTGAATGAGCTTTACCCATTTTCCTCACATACTTTCCAGTCTAGTAGAGGCAAGTTTCACAAGCTACTGTGGAAGAAGTGAATGATTGTTTTACTTGAGGTGGCTGGGATAAACCCTTCATTTTCCCCGTGTTCAGCACAGAGCACTGCATTTTTGCCAGACCTGAAATATGAGAAACTGCGCTGTTTTCCTCTTGCCTTTTGCTACTGTGGTACAATTGCCATTAAAGCCAATAGGAAGGCTCCCACTGAGTTCACCAAGTTAGATTGGACTCATATTTGAGACCGTTTTGTGTGCTGGCGTTAATATTTAAGTGCACTTTCCGCCTACGTTGTGAATCCAGCAAGCAGTATTTTGCAGATAGTGGAGAGCTCCCACAGGGAAAGCTCTTTTAGCTTGATACCGGTGCAGGCAGCTTTGCAGCTAGCTGTGAGAAGCAGCAGCACACACAGGAAAAAAGGCATCTTCGCCCATGGTTTTAAGAGATTTACTTCATCATCCCTTGAAGGAGAGCACCTCAAGTGGCACCATCAAGGGCATGCTCATACTAGAAGCTGTTAAAGCATATTCGAGGTTTAATTAAAAACTTCTGTAGTAATTAAATGTAGGACCCCTGACTGCTGTCAGAAGGGCAACTTGGTAGTGGAGAGCAGAAGGAAATGCACAGAGCATGGTTGCATTGGCTGTTGTAGCAGGGAATAATCTCGTTTTTCCTGGAGCAATGCTAGTGCTTGGAGCATGTTCACATTTGTTCTTTCCCTGATCCAATGGCTTTTTGGTAACATGCAAGTATTGTTTGCTTACATACTACTTGTAAACTTGTGTAAGTACTTCACAATAATTATGGTTCAAGTATGTAAAATAGTCAAGTTAATTTTTTGACATCTGAAAATTATAAAGTATCTCATCTCAATTTGTTTTTCTTTTTCTTGGAGTCTTTAGGGTCTGGGTAAATCTCCCACTAGCAGCAACTTCAGGAGATGAATAACAAAGTTGCCAGTGTGGAAATTCATTACAAAATCTTAAAATTCACAAATGCAGTTGTAAAGCTCGGAAGTTTCACTACTTGTCTTGGTATCTAGCCATTTTCTGTGATCAAAGCTTACCTTGGCTAATGCACAAGTTGTCTTTAGATCAACTGTATTTTAAACTTGTGTATCTTTAAACAAATGTATTTTTTAGGCCTTATTTGAAATGCATTATATCTGGTTTGTGAAGGTTCATGTACAGATTTATCAAGAGTTATATATGAATATTTATTCCTGTCACAGCATTAAAATTAAATGCGTCCTGTATAAAACTGCCTGGTGTATCTATACCTGCACAGGTACTTGTCTTCTTACTGCAGATTAATAACAGTAAGTTTAAATTTATGCAACAGACTGCAGCCACTATGGCTCTTCAAATCAAAGATACACAAATGTAATGTGGAAGAAATAAAGAGCTCCATAGAATCTGACCTACAGGTGAACATTGTCTATTTTGACTTAAATATGTGTATATGCTATTCATAGAAAACAATGGCTCCTTTGCAGCCTTTCAGTTTATTGTGAAAACAGCATATATAAAAATACATTTGAATGGTTTTGATTAACTCTATTCATTTTGTGAATGTGGGGTATATGGCTTTGTTACTTTACAACCTGTGGATTTCTTTATGCAACATTCAGTTTTCTTCAAGAATATTATGCTCTTTTAGAACTGCCCATGAATACTTGAAAAACAAAACATCTCCAGGAAATACATGCAGCAGAGTCTCTGAATGTGTATTAAACTTTGTGATGAGCAAACAATGAAGGTAAGCTTAGCCTGTAGCATAGTGCAGTAAACAACTTGAGTTTAGTTTTATGCTTGTAATTTTGTTCTAATTTGTTCTTAAAATAAAAATAGCATCAGAGGCTGTTCATTCGGTAGCACTTCAAGGGGCTTAACCTTAATTACACAGTAGATGCAGACACCTGAATTGACATGCCAGAATAGTTTTGGATGGTATCTCCTTGTACGGAATCTAAGGAGCTGTTCCAAGAGGAGATTGCTAGCTCAAAAGCATCTTCCTCATTAGAAGATGTGGATCATTGCTCAGGTTTGATGTTGACATGTCTTTGTAAAAAGCTCAGCAAGGCTGGTAGTTTGCTATAAAATAACAGAAGAATGAATGTGATTTTACTTACCTGAAAAAAGTGTCTCATGATATCTAAGGAAGCATTAATAAAACATACCTTCTAGTTTTGAATACTGTAGTCTGTCATTTTGTGTATTAACTCTAATAATCATCCCCCCAGCACTGTATCTGAAGATGGATATAAAATCAAAAGCCATACTACTTCACACTCAGTGTCTAAGGCTCTGAGCAGGCTGATCTGATTTTAAGTTCAGTCTGGCTTGAAGGTTTGCTCTGCTTTCCATGGGGAGCTGAATTAGGTGACTTCCAGATGCCCTTCCCAACCTAAATTATTCTTGTGCTTCTGTGATGACTTGACACTCTGTTTATGCCTGATGTCTATCTGGCTTCTTCAAACTCTGCAGAATGTCTTGAATTGACTTAACTACCCCTCACAGCAGCCCCTGATAGAATATTTTAAGAAATGCTCCTTTTCTTACATATGGACCTGTTATTTTAGCCTCAGACTTGCCAAGGCCAGGAGAGCAGCAGATGCTGTTCAGCAATCTGGACCTTTTAGTATGGTGGAGGCTGCCATTGCAGCCACCCTTCTCCAAGCAGTGAGAGACAAGGTTAGAGCACATCTGTGATGTTTGTGTGAGTTCACCTGATCGGGTCAAGAGCACCACACACCTTATCAGTGATAATACTTTAAAAAAAAATAAAAATAAAGACTTGTAGCTATAGTGAGTTGTTGCTACTGCTCTTGTTCATTGCAATTTTAAAATCAGTAATGTATTCTGTTGCTTCAAGTTTTGTGT